TGAATAATCTAGGGTTCTCAACTATCAATAACATGTTTTTGGAAGTTTTAATCTTAGGGTTTTAATTTTGAACTGAAACCCAATTTTGATAAAATCATGATTTTTAAGGAATAATCAAAGCAAACTGATACTTGATTGTGATCAAAAACTTGCTTTTTATTACTTGAAATCCAGTCTGATTTGATATTCATATTGTTAAGTTTATGTTTGAGTGTTCTTGGTGTTTTATGTTTTTTTAGGTTGAATCTGTTTTGGTTTTAAGTTTTTATTTTGCTTTGTTTTCAGGTCCACCTAGTTGAATCGACCTGATCATGTCAAAATCAGGCCATTCCTTAGGCCTTATTTAGTTTGATTTTTTTTGTCAAGGTTTTTTTGGTTTAAAGGATGTGTTTGGCAAACACCCTTTAGACTTGTTTTGAGTAATTTTATTTTAATATTTTTTTTTTTGCTAAATGTATCCTTACAAAAATACAGAAAAATATAATAAATAAATAAAACAAAATAAAAATTGCGCATTGCATACAACCAATTCTCTTAAAAATACAAAATTCATATCTAGTTTTAAAAAATAAAATACATTATATGCTTATTCTTTTTTAGCATGCATTTTAGATTTAATAATCAGTTTATTAAATCCATGAGAATTAATGATCAATTTTTTTGGTATAAATGTTAAACCTATTAGTGAGATTAGTGTTTAAATATCAGGAGTTAACTAGAAAATTATCAATGTTATTCTCAATATTCATTAATTTTAATTGAAAGTATTTTTCACCACAACACATAAGTTGTGGAAAACTCTTCCACTTTTCAAAATGGGTGAACCTTGTCGAGGCATTTATATGGATCTTTTCCATAAGAATTCATTTAGATATACAAACTCATAATGAATTTAAAAAAAATCAAATTTATTAACATGAATAAATCACCGTCCTAAGCTATAGATAGACTATAGGCTAAAACCTCTCAAAACTTTTAAACCACATAATACAACTTATCTCAAATAGGGTGCCTCAGAGTGTTAATACCTTCCTTAATAACAACTAGTTCCTTACCCTTTCTATTTATGATAAGACTAGCACACCAAGGTTTTATAGTGACCCTAAACCAAACAATTAAATAGTGACTTCCACAATCCCTCAATGCTATTTATCCACTTGCAATAATTATTATAGTGAAAGTAGTTTATACAGCTTAAGTCTTAAGTTTTTTATAAGAGCATACTAGCACTTGAGAAATCATGATTGAAGATCTTTTAGAATTGTAACCTAATTGTTTATGTATTTTAAAAGAGTTTTTGAAAAAAATAAAAAAAATTATTTTTTTCTTTACTTCAAATTATTTTTTTATATTTTCATATTATTTTGATGTACTAGTATCAAAAATAAATTTGAAAAAAAATATGTGATGCATTTTCAAGTGAAAAATACTTTAAAAAATAATTGTTACTACAATACTAAATAAGCTCTTAATGTCCATGAAATATGTAAGTCACACTACCTCATGGGCTAAGTAGAATTTTTCCTTAACATAAAAAAATATTCAACTGATGATACCTCGAATCAAGTAAAGTTAGCTTGACTAACTCGTGATCTAGAAAAATAAATTTAGAAAACCCCACATAAAAAAGGGGAAAATAAAGCTTAAATCCTAAAACCTAATGTAAGATCACAATAAAAAAAATATTAAGAAAAAATTAAAAAAATTAAAGTTAAATCAATAAAGAAGGACATAAAAAAATATTAAGAAATCCAGGTTAATTTGGCTAGCTCGCAACTTGGCTCAGCCCCACAAAAAGAAAAACAAAAAAATCACAAAATTTAAGACCCAATAATCTAATATTAAAAAATAAAATTGAAAAAAATCAATTTAAGAATATATATATATATATATATAAACTCAAGTCAATTTAATTTATCTTTAAAATTAGTGACTCAATTCATAAGACTATAATCATTCCATAGAAGGCAAATACTTAAAAATCACAAAGAAAAATCCTTAATCATGATAAAAAAAAAAAAAGAAGATTGTAATAAAAAATTGAGGAAACAATCTAGCATAAAAATTATATGAAAAAAAAACAATGAGACTAAATTGAAAGTCAAATTAAATAAAATAAAGATGGACAAATTTTTTTTAAAAAAAAACAACAATAAAAATATAAAAACAACATTAGATGATTCACGTTGTTGGTGATAACAACATTTAACCATCGAGAGATATACACATGCCGACCAAATAGTGTGAACACGTCTCATTTATTAGCGCATGCCACTCATGTATTAACCACCTTTTTTTTAATTATTTTTATATATAATCAAAGACCTTATTACCCTAATACATATTACAAAATAATGTGTTGAAAAGATTTAAGTGTACTCAAACACATGTTCTATTATTTTTAATTATAAAAGTAATGAAGAGTCCGTTCGGTTAAGCGTTTATGGTTATATTTAGTATATAACAGTTGCACTAAACCATTTGTTTATAAAATCAGTCGTGATTTTATGCATAGGCCCTACCTTTATCTGTGTTGATAACATTGTTTTGTTGAAGTTGAAATTACATGTGTGCTTATAGAATTTTAATTAGCATGAACAATGTAGTATGCTACACTGTTCCAGCTGGACCGAGTCCAGTTCATAACTCAAAATACATTGAACAGGATTCGACCTAATAAAATAAAAAATAAAAATTATTTTTTAATTTTTAATTTTTTTATTCAAAAAACCATTATTTAATATTATTCAATGATACTACATAAATTTTTAATTTTTTTTATTCAAAAAACCATTGTTTAATATTATTCAATGATACTACATAAATTAGACAAAGATCATTTAATGATGTAGGATTTGTAGAATTTAATTACAATTCTAATTTATTTCTGATTATATTTTACCTCATATTATTAGAAACCAAAAAAACTATAATCATTATCAGATGTATTTTATATGTGATAAAAATATAGATAGTTTAATGAACCAATAAAAAATATTTTATATAAAATATTATTTATTTCATGATATAATAACAATAGTTAAATCTACAATATTTAAATTAAAAATCATCAATATTAATATATTTTTTTAAAATTATTTTATAACTTCAATTTCAAAAGCATTATTAACCAAATACATTAAACTACTTTTTGTTCAACATTAATTTTAATCATAATTTTAACCAAACATGCATACTACCAAATCAACCTCAAGCAAAAATACTTTTTATAAAAATAATTTTTTTTCTCAAGCAAAAATACTTTTTATAAAAATAATTTTTTTAAAATTATAATCACAATAGCTACTATAATACCAAATATACTCATAAGTTTTTTAATGTGCATTCAAAAGTATAAAAAGTCCATAAAACCTTTCTTCCTAGTTTTTTTTTAATTTTTAAGATTATTTAAGTTATTATATTATTTATTTAAAATGCGAAAAGACTTTCTAGTCTCAAGTAAAAATGATAATAATAATTAATAAATCATTTCATTTAATTTTTTACATTCATACCCCTAAAACCAAGTTAAATAAGATTTTTTTTAGAGCAAATAGTAATTTTATTATGAGAATCTAAGAACGTGTGCGTAATAATAAAAGGATGATCTCTTTTAGCTATTTTTTTGTAATTGTAATTAGTAACTGAGGTAACACCCCTACTAGATGGCGGTTAGGTTCTGTGGTAAAAACCAAACAAACTGAACTATGGCGGTTCGGTTCAGCTTTTAAGTTCAAACCAAACAGTGCACGCTTCTGCTATAAACGCAGCACACACATCCATGCTTCGCCCACAAACAGAATGAATGACTCACAAGACCAGACCCCATAAATTTTGAACAGATTTTCAGTTACAATTAATGGTGGTAAGCAAATAAAATTATAACAGTACACTCGCACTTGCATCATGTTTCCACATGAAAACAATGAAAACTGATGCTCTTACTGCAAAGAACCCTAGGTGAAGGGACCCAATGCAATCATTATCTGTCACTTTTTCTGTCTTCTATCAGTAATCTATGGAAAAAACCTTTTTTGAGGTTAAATTCAACAGTCAAAATCAAGAAGATGCAATATACAGCAATGGCCTTGAAACTTCAGTTTTTAATGCTCTCTCTTCAAGCTACGAAAAAATCTGGCAAAACAAACTTTAAGTGCTAGACTTTAAACACCTCCCATTTGCACAATGATGTTGTACTAGTAATTCTGCGGTTCAAAATGATTGGTGCTATAACAGGCGTTCCTAGTACTTCTAAGGAAAATGAAGAGAAGGAAAATTTTACGATGCAAGACTATGCTGCTATTGCCAAGATGTAAATCAGCATGTTCGAAATCACACCAAGCTCAGTATCAGTTAGGTCCACTGGGAAATTTTTCCAGAAATAAAATCAAAGCCATCAAAAAATGTTACTGTGGTTATAAGCAGGATTTGGTAAATTTAACACTTCCCTGGTTTGAGGCATTTATCTCTTGACTCTGCATATATTCAAATACATAAAAAAAAAATAACAATAACATCAAACAATCTGAGACTAAAGGAGTTCCTAGAGTGTAACCAGTACCTCCTCCTTTACAATTGAAACAGATGAAAGCACTATGGGAAGCCTCCCTCTTGGTGCTTTAAGATTACCTTCTAATTCTACACTAGATCAACCTAAACTTTAACCTTTAGCATGATTAAGCGCATCATTAAAAAAAAAAAAAGTTCTTGCAACTCTGTCTATAACAATAGTCTCAGATCTTGTGTAAGAGACAATGTATATATCATGCTTAAGATCTGACATAAGGAAGCGAACCATCAAAAAGAATATTTAACAACATAAAAGTCAATGCTACAAAAACCAATCAACTTAAGTTCTTCCCCATATTCTGAACAAGGTTTACATCTTTGTTTTAGAGTCGATCATTTCAATTCATTAGCCCCCTTGTCCCTAATGTAACAGCAGAAATATGATAATCCCATTTCCACAATTTGTTGCTTGTATGAATCATCTAAAACTATTGAATCTAAGCAAAGTAAATTGATCATGTATTGGCACATAGACCACATTCAATAGGATTAGCACCAATTCAATACAGAACATTATCATTTCAGCTCAAATTCAAAACAAGTAAATTGAGATAACTTACTTATGATGATACAACATAGGACTTCGGGATACAACAGACTGTATCTTGGAGCATCAGCTACAAATGGGACAAAGCACCAAACCATTCTCATTACAATCAGGGCATCTAAGCACAACAGTCCTCCCTTGTTTCTGCCCCAGCTCCTCCTTAACCACCATCACCATCTTACAACTCCCATTACAAGAAAAACAAGGCAAAAACCTCACATCTCCGCACCCTTCACACACACCCTTTACTCCCTTCTTAGGCAACCCTTCTAATACATCTCCTATTATCCCTTCCTCAACTAGTCTCATCACTTCCTCGGCACCACCGATGTAACTTCCTTTAACAAAAACCCTTGGTGGCACCATTGCCTCTCTCTCTTTCCCTCTCATTAATTCCATTAACTCCTCTTTAAACCCTTTGTCCATGGAGACATCTCTCTCACAAATCAACACACCAAACCCTTCAAATGCTGCACGCACTACATTACAAGCTTCAAAAGTCTTTCTTATTCCTCTCAAAGTCGTTGTGTAGATCACAACTCTGTCTTCTCCACTGGGTGGACATAGTCTCTCAAATTTATCAATCAAACCTGTACTGTCCTTCAAAAGAAAATTTGGGTTCTTGTTTTCTTGGCTAGATAAAGGACTTTCTTGGCACTTCTTGGTAACTAAGGAGCTATCCTTCAAAAGAAGTTTTGGACTGGTGTTTTCTTTGCTAAAAAAAGGAGTTTCTTGATGTTTCTTGAAAAAGGATGAAAAATGGGAACTTTCTTGATCTTTCTTGATAATGGGAGAGAAACGAAAGCTATCGGTGTCAAGACCAGACATAAGTTCCCAAGAATCAATGATTTCTGGTCTGGACTTAGGTTCTGTAAGAGGGGTAGGGAAGATGGAGCCAAGAGTGAACCGAGGTGATGGTGTTGGAGGAGTTGTGGTGGCTTGTGGTGGTGGTGTTGGTGGTGGTAACGGATCAAGATTGAGGAGGCCATAAGTGGTTGAAGTGAGTGAAACTATGTGGTGACTTAGCGCTGAGCTGCCTAGTTGAGCGAACTCATCCTCATTGTTAAGTAGATTAGAAGATACACAGCCCATGATGATGGTGGTAGCTGCAGAGTGTTGTTGATGGCTTCAACTTGTTTTGGTGTTTGAAATTTGAAGTAGACTGAGAGGGAAAGTAAGAGTAGGCACAGAGAGTGAAGACACAGGGTTAGATACAGGGGATGACTTTTTCAGGAAGGGAATTTTAAATGAATTTTCTAGATCTCGTCTCACTATATTATTATTATGAGAAATCTACTTTTATTGCTGCCTTAAAATTTACATTTTGAGAAATCTGCTTTTATTGCTGCCTTAAAATTTACATTTTGTAATTTTGTTGATTAATTAATTATAACTAGATTTATTGTTATAAGCAACAAGGTTTTGATAGATCAATGGAGTGCTGCAACATTTTGTGTCTCAATATATTTGGTTTTAAGTGTTTAAGTTATTCATTTGCGTTTTCTATATTGTTTTAATCAATGAAATTTGATATTCTTATTAGATTTAGTTTATTTTTAATAACAGGTACCATAGTTCAAAAAATAAAAAATTATAGAAATTTATAATTATAATATCTGATTTAGTAGTTAAAATAAATGAAGTCTTGATAATAATTGGATAAGTTAATCTAAATTAATTAAAAAAATAAAAAATATAATAGATTAAATTGAAGGCTAACCTTTTCTTAAAAAACATATAAAATGGTGTCATATTTTTTGTTATAAAACAAATAAACTAGATTTTTACTAATTTTATCTTGTTTAAATCTTAACAATTAGACCATATCATTCATGTATACAAAAATTCATGATATTTAATTCGAAAATAATAAATGTTTTACCTTTCATTACATTTTACGTTAAGTAAAACCCACATGCTATTAATCTCACAAATGGCATGATTAAAACCAATAATTTATATAGTTAAATTAATACATTATCTTTTATATATTCTATAGTAATTCAAGTTAATTCCCGTTATAAATTAAATCAAAACGATCAGATTTAACAAAACAGTAAATTTAACATAATGAAGATTATTTCTCAGAAAAAAAAAAAAACAAGTAAAGCTACATTTTTGTGATGGGGTATCTTAAAAGAAATCACATGAATGGTAAATGCGAGCGCAATTGCAAAAGCAAGTGCAATTATTATCTAGCCTTTTCAGTCACTCAAATTTGAAAAATTTTGTGGGGACTGAGCGTGTGGCGCTAAATTTTTAATTCAAATTACAGGACTGCGTCTGGAGGAGTATTTAATTGGGCTCGCACTTTCTTCCCTGCGTCACCCATTCCAAGGTCAATTCACATGTTTCCACTCAGTGTTTGAAAACAAACACCACCAGGCCAAGCCCGTTTACAGAGGATAGAGCTTGGGCTGGGTCAATATCAGATTATTTTCTACTAATTTAATGTTTTTTTTGAAAAAATACCGTCTTCATAATTTAAACCTACCCCTTTAAATTTTTATTTATTAATTGATTGTGTTAAATAAAAATATTAAAAAAGAGACCTTCGGCTTTGGGTCTAAAGCTACAACTTACTTGGGCTCAGGTAAGGCAAGGCCCCATGACTCACTTATTTAGTGTGTCTAAACATAACTGTATGTTGTTTTCAACATATTTTTTTACTTATGTTATACATAACTTTTTAAGTTTTATCATATAATTTAATAAATTTAAATATATTTTTTATTGGTTGAACAATACAACCAAATACGCATAGTTTTCTAACTCAACCAAACTCACTTTCTATTTTACAATTAAAAGTTTTTTTTTTTTATAATATAGTTATATTATATAGCCTTACAATGACCTTTATTTTGAGAAAAGTAAAGTGTGTTTCGATGGGAGGTATAATGGTTTTTTTTTAAGGTATAATTTTTTAAAAATACAAATCATACCTTTAAAAATTAAAAATACATGTATTTTGTGTGGATCCTATCAAAAAATGCTAAAGCCACATGCAAACCAAATACCCTTTAAGATGTGAAATACGCTTCTATAAAATTTAGTCGCCAACAAGATAGGCAAGGGATTTCATCTCTCAACTCATAAAAAATTACTTGCTAAATATTAAATTTTACAGCAAAACTTTTAATTGAATTTATAATTAAATTAAATTAGTTTATTAAAAGTCTAATCAAATCTTTAAATTTAATTTTTTATATAAATTTATCAAATAAATCATTTAATTTAACTTTTATTCTATATTGTCTTTCATTTTCGAATATAATAGAGATACAATTGTACTCCTAATCATTTTCAAAATTCAAATTCATTTCTCCCTGTGTTTAAAATCCTTCTCAGCTTGTTCTTGCCAAGTTATTAGTTTTTTTTCTAATTTATTTTTATTTTTTAAAATATTTTTTTTAAAAAAAGATAATTTTAGAGGAAATTCAAAATTAGTTCATGAGACATAAAATAACATTTAGATAATTATTGATGAAAAGAGGAATATATCATGTATTGGTAACATTCAAAAGTACTCTCACTTAAGCGATATATAATTGTCCAATTTAACCTAATTAAAACTAGAAAAATCAAATTATGTATATTGGATGAGAAAAGTATGCAGCTCTCCTTCAAGCTTAACTTCTAAGTTTTTTCTTTCGGAACTTCAAATTTCTGTAGTATTTAAGCATTTCCCCTTTCTAAGAATATCATAGTTTTTCATCGGTCCCTCTAATTTAATCATTTTAAAGTTTATCTCCATATTTTTTTAAAACTTTGCCTACAGGAAAACTCCTGTCAATGGGACATTAACAATTAACAACAAATTCAAAACCAACAGAAAGAACAGTCTGAAATCAGAATTATTGGGGGCAAATAGTGGGTGCCTCAGACAATACCTAGAACACCTTTTAGGCAGGGCCAGCACCTCATCTAAAAGAATGTCATGCCACTTTTTCAGACAGACCACCAGCCCTTTTATGCTGGCAAAGGCGCCTGGAACTTGTGGACCTACTGGCCACAAAATGCAATTATAGATGGCATCAAATGCTTATGGTATATGCTTGGAGTTCATCGAAAATTGAACACTAGCTAGGAAGATCAATTTTTTGCATTGAATTTCAATTTCCGCATACCATTATTTATTTATTTATTTTACAAACATGGATCATCATATTATATGGGTGATACTATTAAAGAATTGTCTTTTACTTGAACTGATTAAACCCTCGTATGGCTTTCATGCCACCTTGAAGTTTTTGAAGCTTATTTGCCTCTTGCCTAAGATAAAGAAAGTCTTGTTGCATTATTATTACTTTAACCAGCCCATAGGAAACCAGTTATGGTAATTATATAATATAAGGCATTCAATTGCCTATTTATTTATTTAATTCGTGTGTTAAATTTGCTAGTAAAATATAAGCCATGATCAAATAATTAGTCATCCTTTGACTTCATACTATAGTTTAAAAATCTAGATGTAAGGTAGTAGATCCGGAATTCTAAAATGATCCAAGTTAAATAAAAAATATTAAAAAATTAGTCGATTCAATTAAAAACAAAGTGAATTCGATAAACTAATTAATCTAAATTTAATATTAAAAAGTAAAAACTCAATTCTAAACCTATTATTTAAAAAAAAAATCAAAATAATATTATTTTAATTATTATAAAAAAAATATTTATTTTACCGGGTAAATCTTCTTGAATCATTACTAGGTAGGGTTTGACAACTACTAGTCTCGCATGAATTAAACAGTTCTTATGTGGAGGGAGGATACCCATTAACGAGTTACTAGCAATTGAGAACATTAGTTGTCTTCTTCAGGTGGCCTGTGGATTCTTGGTCTTTTCTACACAGATCAAATGCAAGCGTGTGCCCTCTTGGGCACATGGAGTTTTGTGAATTTTTTTTTTTATTGATCTTATTAAATATACAGTAGGCATTATATAATTAGTTCAGTCTCTCTGCATTCTAGTTGCTATTCAAGCCAATTGCCACCTCTTTCTAATCTAACATCACCTCATTTGGCTAGATATTATATCATTGGGCAATACTCCCTGCCTCAAAAACACTATTGTCACTGGTGGTTCTATCTACAATTTGGAATTTCCTGCGCTGGGCTTAGGAATCAATGAGGCATGATCAACTAGGAGACATGATAGCGAAGAGAAAACCTGGTTGGGAGCACTTGCAGGAAGTAAGATTATCTTCTTCCATTAGAAGAATCTAATCATGAACTGCGATGTTTAAATGTGTGATCTTCTTGATGAGATCGTTTGGTGCATTTAAGATCAAAACAAGAGCATATAGTCTTTGCCTCCAATCCTTTCTTCTGTGTTTTCTATACTTACCTTTCTGGGTTTCCTTGTGAACTGATAAGATAGTTATTGTTTTATTTATTCTGTGCATTGGCCACCTTTAGCTAACCCATTTATGAAGCAAATTTCAACTGGTTTTCCTACTTCCCAATTTTGTGGGTCTACATATTCACAAATGTCTCCATATAAGCATAAAGCAAGTCGAGGTTGAATCTGTCATTTAAAATAGTCTAAACCAAATAGATTAGGAATAAAAGAGAATAAGCCGATAGAAGTTCACGAGAAGGGCTGGATAAACTCTACTCACACCATTTATTCTCAATCAAAATATAATATGTCAAAATCTCATATAAAGAAAAAGTATCCAATAACTTAAATAGGTTTACAACATAGAAAGGAAAAAGGGATCCTAAAAATAAAATTTAAAATTTAAAATTCAAATTAAAAAGGAAAATACTAAGATTAAAAGTTACAATATGTTCGAAATCCTAATTTAAAAGCCTTTCCAACCTCGAATGATACAATGTATTAATAATATAGAATAAAAGTTGTAGAATTTTCTAATAAAATTTGAAAATAATTCAATGATCAGATGATATATATTGATTGTTTTTGTCAAACAAGTAAATTAACATAAGTAGATCTCTTTTTTAAACTTAAACTTAAACATGTTTTTTTAATGTATATTAATGTTTATTAGGCTTTCCATATGATCTAATTGCAATAAATTTGTATCCAACCCTTCATATCCTCCACAACCTCTGCATCAATGCATGTAAATCACAAAACCTACAATGTGTCAAGCTTTTATTTTTTTCTTTTCATTTAACCATGATAAATAGTTATATTTGAAACTCATCGTAGACCAGTTATGTCAATCTGTCATAAGGTCTACGATGTGTATGAAGTATTAA